TAACAGATTTAATTTAAAGAGATTAGGTTTACCGTTTAGTCAGGAAATTTGTAAGAGTTGTATTGAAGCTAAAAGTACTCGAAAACCATTTTATAATAGTCAAAAGAAAACCGTCAAAATTGGTGAATTGATACATTCTGATATCGCAGGTCCTGTAGTAACTTCTACTCCAGAAGGTTATAAATACTTTCAAGTATTGATTGATGATTTTTCTCATTTCTTGGTAGTTAAATTGTTAAAGAATAAAAGTGAAGCTTATCAAAATGTTATTGATTTTGTTCGATTAATTAAAACTCAACACAGTTTAAAAACAAAAAGAATAAGATTAGATAATGGAGGGGAATTTATATCAGATTATTTTAAAAAAATTTGCAGAACTAAGGGTATTCAGCTCGAGTATACGATGCCATATACTCCGCAGGAAAATGGAACATCAGAACGTATGAATCGAACATTGTTAGACAGGGTGAGAACCAAATTTGCAGAAACTAATTTACCCAGAAAACTATGGGGAGAAGCAATACTATGCTCAGCTTATGAATTAAACCGGTCACCAACTGAAGCAAACAATGGTGAAACGCCGGCAAAGAGATGGTATAACAAGAACGATTTATCAAAGTTAAGAGTATTTGGTAGTCAAGCATGGGCTGTAATTTTACCAAGAAACAATAAACTAGAACGAAGGGCAAAGCCATGTATTATGATAGGATATTGTGGGGCAGGATATCGGTTGTGGAACTATATTCAAAATTTAACTTTTTGCTCAAGAGATGTTAGATTTAATGAAAAAGAAACAAATTATGATAATATTCTAAAGGATGAAAACATTGATAATAAAAGAGAAATGATAGTACCGATTGAAAATGAATTAGAAATAAAAGAAGGAGAAAACGATATTGAAATTGAAGTTTGTGAAGACGAAATCGAACCAGGTGGAAGCGATAGTGAAGAATCCGACAATTTAGAAAAATGAGAAACAAAACTAAGAACAAAGGAAACAAGCACCAGAAGAATAATTAATAAACCAAAATATTTAGACGAATATGAGGTCTATCAAGCTTACTGTTTAATTTCGACCGAAGAAAGTGATCCAATAGAGTACAAAGATGCTATTAAAAATAAGGAATGGAAAGATGCTGTGGAAAAAGAATTAGATTCACACGCAAAATTAAATACTTGGACAGAATCAAATGTACCAGATGGAAAATCTGCAATACAAACCAAGTGGGTGTTTCGAACAAAAGAGGATGGAACCAAAAAGGCCCGAATTGTGGCAAAGGGATTCCAGATGAAAGAAAAAGATCCATTTAATCCTGTATATTCGCCTGTTGCAAGGTTATCGACAATAAGGCTATTAATATCAATGGCCTTACAAAGAGATTTTAAAATAAGACAACTAGACATCCCAACTGACAAAATAAACAGGAAAAGTGTAAGTGGATGTATTATATTGTATGGTAAAAATCCAATATATTGGTTCTCGAAGAAACAAAGTTGTGTTGCACTGTCTACTGCAGAAGCAGAGTATGTGGCAGCGGCTACTTGTGCACAGGATTTAGTAAATCTTAAGGGGATTATGAATGATTTTGATGTTGATAATGAAACGATTTTGTATTGTGACAATAAGAGTTCAATTCTAATGTCAAAAAGTAACGAAAACTCTAAAAGGGCGAAGCATATAGATATAAAAAATCATTACTTGAAAGACTTAGTTGCACGAAAGGAAATAACAATTACCTATGTATCAACTGATCAAAATTTGGCGGATATATTAACAAAATCTTTAACTAAAGATATATTTGTATATCTAAGAAATAAGGTTCACATTGTTTAATCGAGTACCTAATTCAGTTTAGTTCTTTATTTTATTTTATATAACATTTAAAATCGAGGAGGAGTGTTAAGAATTTATGTAAGCTTAGTTTCTCATTAGGAGATAGCGCTCTATGTTTTAGATACGATTTTAATAATGTGCAACCTGCTAATATTGCAATGACATGAAATATGTGTTCTGTCAACTTTGTCAATGTTGTTGGTTGCTCTCTTCTATTGTACCCGAATTGTTAATAATAAATACGTTGTTTAAAGTCGTCAAATCTGGGATTTTATTAATATAAAATAACACTTAACACCACGAAAAAGTTGAAAAAAGATCATCTTTACAACGTTTATGATGAAGTCTTTGATTATTGGTTAGCAGATGGAGTGATAGAACCATTACCAGTTTTTGAAATTTTATGTCAGTCTGGTCATTTTTTGCCACACCATCCAGTTTACAAACCTAGTAGTGGCATAACACCTGTCCCTACGACCTGTTTTTGATTCGTCATCAAGAGAGAAAAGTCAACCTTGTTTGAATCACTGTTTGGAAAAAGGTATCAACCTTATCGACCTTATTGAATTGATCCCTTCCATGATTTTAGTTTTCGAACAGAGAAGATTGGAGTAACTGCTGATATAAAGAAGGCATTTCTTCAGATCAGCTCACAAGAATGAAGAAAGTTATCGAAATTTGTTGAAGTTCCTGTGGTATGATAAAGGCGACAACTTGAAGATATTCAGACATACACGAGTGGTATTTGGAATATCATGCAGTCCTTTTCTATTAGGAGCAGTTATAGACTACCACCTTAAGGAAGCTTTCAAAAAATAAGAACGCGAAGAAGGAATCTACAGTCGTGATGTTATTTCCAAATTAATGAAGTCCTTTTACGTTGACGATAAAGAAGCTCTTAACCAATTCATTGAACTCTACGTCAATTTTGGCTAATTTTAACTTAGGGGGTGGGCTTATTATTTATCATAGTATGTTGAAGTTGAAAAAAGAAGCAACATTTTAGGACTTGTTTGGAATTTTAGACAATTTGGAACTTTCACTACAATTTTTCGATAAACTCGATATACGGCAGGTAACAATAACTCATAAGTTGTTTGACCCTATCGGCTTTTCGTGTCTATTTGCCTAGATTCCAAAACTTTTACTGCGAGAGACATGGTCTTCGAATTTGGGATGAAACGTTGAGGTCACTGGAGAAATGCTAGAAATATTTTCAAAATGGCTACAGATTTGCTATACTTGACCTATGTTAAAGTTCCTCGATGGATAGGTACAGATTTTAAAAAATCGACTGCATGTCTTCCGTGATGCAAGCGCTGACTTTCACAATAATCACTATTCAAAACCTTAAGTTTTCTTTAGGGCAGATTCATCAACAGTTTTAGCTGAAAGGAGATGTTGGGAGGGACCTCGATGGTTACTTGATCCAGTTTCAGAGTGGCAAGTCAAAATTTTTAGTGCGACGAAGGAGAAGTTAGTAAGGAAAAAAGAAAGACTATTGTTTCTTCTCTGATTGTAACCAAAGATTTTTTATGGTATTACCATCAAAATTCAACAAAATAGTCAACATGATTGCGTGGTGCTACGACATTCGATAATAACTGCAGAAAAAGAATACCGAAAACCGTTTTATACAAGAAGAAATTTTTCAGTCCGAAAATGACCCCAGACTACCACCTTTATGTGTCCGTTTATCGATAGAGGTGAATTAGGGTACATACTAAGATATCAGACAGAATCAATACAGAAAACTTTCATATGCTGTATGTTTTAGGTACTTTCAAATCATCACGGTGTTGAACGCAGACGCACTGTTAAATTAGTTATTAATGGATGTACCTACTATGAGTTGACTTCATCCTTATCCAGTAATTCATTTCTACAGACTTTGAGAAGATTCATTGCTCGTAGAGGTCGACCTTCAACGATCTACTCCGACCGTGGAAAAAACTTTGTTGAATATGTCAATGCTTTAGAAGACATAACTTGGCCAAAAGTAGCTGAAAATTGCAGTACTATACAGAAATTTGGATGGAGAATGAATCCGCCAACAGCTGCCTGGTGGGCTGGTGGGAGTGACTCATACAAATGTTGAAAGATTTGTTACATAAAACACTTGGAAAACCAAGCCTTGACATGGAAGAGCTACAAGCCGTACTTTGTGATTGTGAGGCGGTTTTGAATGCACCACCACTGACGTAGGTATATGTCTAAAGATCCCAATGACTATGTCGTTCTAACACTGTTAATATTCCTACAAGATGTTAAAGAAGTATGATGAATTGTTGATCATGATTCAGTTAAAGCCAATCATCTGGATAGACGATTTAGATTAAAAAAGAGACAGTAAAAGTTGGAGATATTGGGTGGTATGAATAAAAACGAAGTACATGCTACTACTACAAGTATTAGTATATTCTTCGAAGTATCTACTTCACAAAGAAGCATTTACTAATTTCCGGTAGTTTAGAAATGTAGTATCTACTTCGTTTTGAAGTAAATACTACGTAGAACATACTAATACTTGTAGTAGTAGCAAGTACTTCGTTTTTATTCATACGACCCATTGTCTTGATCTGAGGGTATAATGTAAAGAAATTTGAATGGCCTATAGGGCGTATAATTCCGGTTATTCGTGGATGTGACGGAGAACTGAGAAGTAAGAATAGTGAAGTTGAAAACGGCTTCGGGTCAACTTTCAAGGCCATTGCAGCGCGGCATTTCACAATAATTGGAAATGGGAACTTCAAGATATTTAATTAAATTTTCCCAAAAAGGAGGAGTCGTTGAAGAAGCTGGAGTGTATTAAAAGCTCCCTGGTTCTTTTTATGTTTTTTGATGTTGATGTAGGCCACACATAGAGGCTACAAGACCATTGTGATGTCATGTCAGGGGATAACGGTTATTATTTGAATAGAGTTGTCACATTGTTCTCTGTAAAATTGAAGTATTATTGGAAGTAGTAACGGCTCTTGCTGCAACGGTATAACTATACTTGATAGAGGTGGATTCTTTGAATAAAAAGCATTACCACTTTTAACAGTGATAGATACTTCGGCCCATCATGGCAACTTGAAAATATTTTCCCATAAAGATAGAATCTGCTTCCTAATAAAACACAGGATTGTATTTTTGTTATAACCTTGGCTTGATAAATTCTTACCTGTATTTTTGAGGGTTCTCCTGTGACAACCCCATTCAAAACATAGTGGCCCTTTAAAGCCGACTCCAAAAACTCGTTCATTTTGATAGAATCGTGTTCTACATTGCTACCTGCAGTTTCTATCAACAAGTAAAAAGGGTAGTCGTCTAACGGTGACACCAGATTAGTGTGCTCCTTGCCCCACTTGATAGTGTGAGAATCCATTACCTCCATTGCTGATAGTATTTCGCCTAATTCGTGTTTGGCTTTTTTTGAAGTTTTTAAAACCTTATCGAAAGTTTGAAGACCTAAAAAGAATGAATTTTTGTTGGAAAACTAAGTTTAAAGAGACTTGTCTGGTTTTCTCTTTATTATTTTCAAGTTTCGATTATGACAATTTCAATTGGATGATTATATTAATTCTTACCTAAGAATGTAACATGTTGACTTTTAGGCCTTGTAGAACATTGCAAAGCTACTTTAGTGATGATACCCAAAGTTCCTTCTGAACCAATGAATAAATTCTTCAAGTGCAATCCACTGTTGTCTTTTCTAACAGACGTTAGGCAGTCTAAAACTTCACCATTTGCTTTTACCTAAAAAAAATTCATGAATTCTTTAACTAATCGCAAAAGCATACCAGCCAATTAGATTAGAATAATTCCGATTTCACACACACAAAGGGTACTTACAACTTCCAATCCTAAAGTATTGCCGTGCATATTTCCGTATCTCATAACTCGCATTCCTCCGGCGTTTGTAGCCACGTTACCGCCTATTTGACACGATCCTTTTGAACCCAAGTCCAAGGGTACCATGAGACCTTTTCCTGCTAATGCGTTGTCCAGTTCTTCTAGTATGACTCCTGCCTGACAGACAACAGTACCTGTGAAATTTATTTGTGAGGTAATTTGTGATAATCATATACTAATAGGAAGAATTTGGTTACAAATACAAAAATGTAGAGAGTTGTCAGGAGAACTAAAAAGAGTAGAGGAGAAAACTTGAAAATAAACAATCTACAGTAGGTTTTTGAAAGATTTCATGCATAAATCATATTTTCTCTTACCTGAATTTTCATCAATTTCTATTATTTCATTCATGAGCTCCATAGACAAAATAATTTCATCGAAAACCGGTACGGCACCAGACGCAACCCCTGTATTGCCTCCCTGCGTACATAATGCCAACTTATATTGGTTGCAGTAAACGATAATTTTCGAAACCTCCTCTGTAGTTTTCGGTTTCAGGACGACGGCACTTGAACCTTTCCAAAATAAAATCAAAAATTATAAACAAGTGTTGATAATGGAATGGTTTGTTTTCAAATCAAATATGTAATAAATTACCTCGTACTTGTTGAAACCAATCCACGTTATATTTTTCCAAATCTGATAGATTAGTTAAAACTCTTTCTTCATAGCCAAGTAAGTCCTGGAAGTATCTCAGGTGAGGTTCTTGCAAATAGTTGTAGAAGCCTCTTTCCACTTGATACCTATTCTAGAAAAGATAGAACAGTTTTAGTCAGCAAAAACTTCCTGCTTTTTCAGAATGGGATTATTATTATTATCATCAACAGAAGAAAACACGTTGTATTATTGTAATTAGTAGTAAATGTTAATCGTATAAGGAAAAAACCTACTCACAGTTACTCACTTTAGTAAAATCCGGCTGAGCACGAAATCCTCTAAAAATATTATTGCGCACTCCGAACTTAATCAACCCAACCAATTTGCTCGAAAGCATTTTTTAAATTATAAACTAATCCATAAGTAGATTTTTTCGACTATTTTCACAAGAGTAGGTACACTTCATTGTGCGTTATCTGAATGTGAATTGTTCAATAAACAACACACTATTAAGTAATAAGTCACAAACAGAGGAAATTGATGAACCTATTTTTACTTAAGCATTTATGGTTTAGCTGATAAGCATTAATGAGTAAATATTGAAATTGATATACATAATTATTTAAGTAGGTTTTTGCACTGTTTTTTGACATTATTTATTTGTACAATTCTATTTTTAAATTTTGATAATTTTATGTTTGATTTAAATAGTTTTGCTATTGAGAATTTCATACATCTGTCCAAACTGGTATTCCAACAATAAATTGACATGTTTTGATTGTTGATTTGAACCAATCAGATTGTAACTACGCGATAATTTGCACTAGTGCAAATTATCAGATAATTGCATACTAACTGGTGCGAAAACTGGTGTTTTGACATTTTTTGACAAAAAATTTAAATTTTTGATTTATGAAATTCTCTCATTAAATACAACTCGTGCAATGGAAATATATTTATAATTTTCGACAAATTTGCACTCATGCGTTTTCAACTGAAAAAGGAACTCGTGCACTACGTGCACTCGTGCTCTTTTTCAACTAAAAATGCATTCGGGCAAATTTCCCAAAAATTATCAATAATTTCCATTGCACTAGTTATATAATTACTATTGACAATTTTGTAAAGGTACATTATTGGTACCTGCACAACGATAATACTAATACTATCTTATCCTTCCGGTAAAAACGTTCAATAACTCGCTGAGGAGTGTAGCACCACACTCCCTGTGAATTGGGTGCTAGGTAGTCCTAGGTATAGAGTAGATAGGTAGTCCTAAAGTTTGAACGCACGAAATATATAAACGAGGGGGTCTCGCGTTACATTAGCCCCCTCCCCCCGGTAAAAATGTTCTATAACTCGCTGGCGAGTGTGGTGCTAGCCCTGTAAGTTGGGTGCTAGTTATAGTATAGTGCTAGGTGTATAGTAGACAGTGCTAAAGATTCAACAGAAATATGCACACACGGGGGTAGGGGGGAGGGGCTCGCGTTAGATTAGCTCCGCCCCCGTTAAAAATTAGCTATAACTGGCTGGGAACTGTGATGCTTGCTCTGTAAGTTGGGTGCAAAAGGGTGCTAAAAAATAGAACCTATTGGAAAGCCAGGGGAGCCCATATAACGGACCCCAAAATTAGAGCTGAGAAAAAGAAGTATATTCTTTATGCAGGGTGTTCGGGTGTTGTTTGGGATTTTTGGATGAATGTAACTCGCTACTGGACTCTAACAATACTGACAAAGACTATCACAAAACTATGAATGGCGACATTTTCCAAAATTGGGTGGAAGGACAATTAATTCCTGCATTGTCTAAATTAGAAGGAAAATGTGTTGTGGTTATAGATAATGCACCATATCATTTTATGCTTATCGATAAACCACCATGTTTTTCTTCTTAAAACGCGAAAATGCTGAAATTCTTGACAAGACATAAAGTTGTTTTTGCTGACGGACTTACAAAAAAAAAAAAAAAAACGATGAGAATTGATCAAACCATTTAGGAAAACAGGGAACGAAAAATATGTAATTAACGAGATTCTCAGTAGACATGGCCATGAAGTTCTTAGATTACCTCCATACCATTGTCAATATAATCCTATTGAGATAGCATGAGGATTTACTAAGAACTTTTACAACAAGCACAAAAACAAGGAGGCTTCAACATTGATACAGGAGGACTGGAACAAATTAATGGAAAACACTAGCTTCGAAAACATTCCTCCTATCATCATTCGCTTCAATGAGTTTAAGATTCTGATTCCGAAAGCTTGATAGATTCTGACTGTGATGAAACAATTATGGAAATTGAGATAGTTGAAGCTAGAATTTGATATTTTAATCCTCAAGCTCGAAAGGGATCATCATCGTCATTCAGCCTCTAGTTGCGTCCACTGTTGGACACCTCAAGGTGTTACCATTCTTATCCAGTCGAAATCCTCCTGATATCGTCTGACCAGCGAGTGGAAGGTCAGCCAGCGTTTGTCACTTCTAGGCCGCTACTCGAGAATTCTTTTGGTCCATCTCCCATCCGGCAATCCCGCGACATGTCCTGCCCATATCCATTTGAGCTTTGAGATACACTATAACATCGACTACTTTTGACCTTATACAAAACTTATCCAATACTTTCTCCTTTCCTTTCCACGATTTTTTTACTATTTTTTCAAATATTCATCTGCAGCTCATTTTTAATTATTAATTATTATGTTTCGAATTATTTGAATTAAGTATTTTCCATGTTATGTTATGTTCTGCTCAATGGTTCTGCTGAATAAGCATGTGTACCTACCTATATTTATCAGTTATAGAGAAAAGTAAGATTATTGCTTTCAAGGTAATTAACAGTACCTTATTCAAATGCCGAGTTCGTTTTTGTCATCTTTTTCGTCGATTTGTTCCGCAATTTTGACAAGCACGTGACCATCACGTGACTGGATAAGACAGTTCCAATTTACAAATCACGTGCCTGTCAAAATTTTGGAGCAAATCAACGAAAAAGATGACGAAAACGAACTCAACCAAAGTATAAAAATATGCTTCAGTCCTGCTCTGCTATTTTTCAGTTTGTCATCATAACTTCCCAAAGACATAAAAAAATATTTACCAACCTATGCAGGTAATAAAAATAAAATCCCTATCAACTACCAACTGAAAGGTGATAAATCTTACCTTTAGTTGGGACTTTGGATTGTGAATAGATTATTCGTCTTGGTTTACCATAGGTGAAGTACACATTTTTTAAATTAAACGGGCAATTCCACTTATGTATAAATAATTCCATTTGAAATGTCAAAAATCGTAGTTTGCTAGCGGATAAATAGGAAGGAACAGAAAATATAACTGGATAAAAAAATCGGATAAATTTTCTGTTGATGCAATCGTTACCATAGTAATAATTGCATGTTAATTGGTTTTTGAATCATCTGTAAAATAATTGTGTCACCAAAATTCACAAATTCGATCATTTTAGCTTATTAAAAGTGTACGTATTTTAAAATAAAATTAAAAATATTTTAAACATGCCGCGATTTGGAACAATTAAAGATGAAATTAATAGCGAAATGGAAAATTCAATTCCTGGTGCATCGTACGTATCAGTTAGTTGCCCCTTAAGTCTGGAGAAGGTAGCTACTCAATTGGTCGCATGAAATGCAATTATCGAGGATAGGATTGACTATGACTTTAATAATACTTTGGTTCCGTTAGACTCGTTAGAGCGTTCTATTTCGCAAGTTAATTTTTACAGAGTGACTTTGACCCATCTTTTGTAGAAATATTTGATAATAGGCGGTAAAAAAGGCTCCTGTAAGATGTTTTTAAATATTTTACTAGAATCCGCTTGGGTGAGGCAACTTCGTCAATCGTTATTCCGGCACTGTCGAACTATTATTTTTGTTTCTAGGACAGGGGCGCCGGGTTACAGAAAACCTCGTGGGTGCTGTTCATGCACCGGCATTTCTGAGGGTGTGAGGGGGGGGGTGAACAGCCCGCCGGTGGTGAAAAAACTTCTTCAGAAGCCACGCCCAAAAACGTTTACCAGCATTCTTTAATTTACATTCGGACGAGTGTCTAAGAAGGGAATGGTAATACATTTCAAACAACCTTTCCATATTCGTTTTCCAGCTGCGGGAACTAGTGTTGCTTAGGGCTTATGTAAGCTTTTTACGGTGTCTGCTAAAATTGGAAAAAAAGGACGGCTATAAGGGTAAAGAGTAGAGTGTTTTCACAGCTATTAGAACAATACCCACTTCTACCACGTAAAAGCCCCCCTCCAGCATAGCCATCATAGTCCTGCATTAATCTATTTTCAAAAGGCGCCGCCGAAATTTTCCCACGGTATCGAAAAACTTCCTAGGCTCAAGTACCCCCAGCTATCAGACTAGCAGATTCACAAGCAAAATATTTATTATTGCAATAAAATTAATGCATCTGTTTATGACCAATACCCACCTCACAGCTATCAGAGCAATACCCACCTCCACTATGTCAAAAAGCTTCTACTCTGAAGAGGTACCTCTTTTCATATCCCTTCACTTTCTTGAAAACTAAAGAATATTTCAACAATTCCTGCATTTGTATTCGTCAATAGTGTTCTAAACTCCATGAGATTAATTTTATTGCAATAATAACATTTTGCTTGTGAATCTGGTGGACCACTTACGTAGTAGAGGTGGGTATTGGTCTGATAGTCGGGGGCACTTGAGCCTGGGAAGTTTTTCGATACCGTGGGAAAATCTCCAGATCGGCGGCGCTTTTGAGCTGAAATTTTGGGAATTTGACCCGGGCCAACCCCAAAATTGACGAACTCGAATACAAATAGAAGAATTGGTTAAATATTCTTTAGTTTTCAAGAAAGTGAAGGGATATAATAAAGTGCCATTTCAGGGTAAGAGCCTTTTGAAAATAGATTAATGGAGGGCTTGACGGAAGAGGGTTTACAGTGCAGGTGGGTAAAAAGTGCCTCCTCAGGGTAGGAGCTTCACGGAAGGGGGTACAGTGGAGGTGGGTAGTGGTATGATGGCTGTGCTGGAGGGGGGTTTTACATGGTAGAGGTGGGTATTGGTCTGATAGCTGTGAAAACACTCTACTGTAAAGTGTGGAAAACTCTCCTGCAGATATTCTTTTCCAAGCAGCACGTACCGAAAATCTGCGTTTTACGCTGTTCTCCATAAAAGATTTCTGATTTTCTTCATCTTCTTCTTCTTCTAAACAAAGTACCACCATGTTCCGATATCAACTGCCAGTACTGGATTTGGTGTGCTGATTTTACTGTCATTTACCGTTCCAATTTCAACAGGGTACTCTTGTGGTCATTCAGTACTGAATCGGCTGAATCCAGTGCACTGAAAATAATATTGGAACGGCGTCCAGTAAATTCAGTACTGACAGAGTTTATATCGGAACATAACCTATATAAGGCAATGGTCCAAATTTAACCAAACGTTAACCATTAACTCTGTTCCAACAGACATGAGAACCGTTCCAGAACCAATAATTTTCAGTTGCCCGCCTATTTTTCAATAAGTTGAACGTTTTCCCTAATTGACAAATGGATT